CCATCCATCCAGACAGACAGACAGACAGACAGACAGACAGACAGACAGACAGACAGACAGACAGACAGACAGACAGACAGACAGACAGACAGACACACATACATACATCCATACATGCATACATACATACATACAATTACATACATACATACATACATACATACATACATACATACATACAATGACATACATACAATGACATACATACATACAAAGACATTCATACATACACGCACATACATACACACACACACTATTTACATACATACACACACATATATATATACACATACATACACACACGTACATACACATACATATACGTACATACATATACATACATACATACAGACAGACAGGCATACAGACATACATACATACATGCATACATAGATACATACATACATACAGACAGACATACATACATACATAATCATACATACATATACATACATAAAAATATATATATATACATACATGCACGTGTACATATGCATTTGCATATACATGTACAGTAACATATACACATACACATACATATACATATACATACACCTACATACATACATACATACAAAAAACATACATACGACGTACATACTACGTACATACGTACAGCCGTACATGCATACATACATGCATGGCCTTAGCCAAGCATACCTCCACACCGGTACGAGTCATTGTTCAACTCGCAACAGTCTGGGAAATCTGGACTCAACCGCGAAAGAGGCCACCTTTCCAAGATCTTCTGGACCAGGTCACCGAAACTGACTTTGCCAGAGTCACCGTCCTCTACGTGAGCCGCAGCACAAAAGCACCAGAAGCTCCAGGGAACGAGCCACAACTGACGACGACAGCGTGATGCAGCTTTCGTTTCTTGGGAAAAAGAGCAAATGCCATCCATGACAAGAAGCAAACTGAGTGGCAAGAATCTGAATGCTGACCACAAGGTCATCTATCAGCATGCGGTTGAACGACTCTCCAAGATCTTTGCCAACACAGATCATTACATACATCAGAAGGCTCCAAAGCATCAAGACAAGCACACCAAGCAGTACAAGAAACAGCTAGTGGCACAATGTCAACGATCATGGACCTCAGGGCATCCACAGCCCTTGAGAACGACTTGCATCCTGCTTTGGCCATGAAACCCAGCCCAATAGCAGGAACAACACGTGAGGCAGCACCTTTAGAGGCCGTTGCTGAAGCTGACGCTGAAGCATGCTCAGAGTACGAGCATGAGGAAGATGCGGCCTACATGGTAGACTTCTTGTAAGACCTGGCTGGCGCTTCGACTCTGAGACACAAGCTCTAGCAGACCTGCCAAATGGCAACTCGAGCACCACTTTAGGAAAAAATACATACATGCATACATGCATGCATACATGCATACATACATACCATACCATAACATACCATACCATACCATACATACTACGTACATACATACTACGTACATACTACGTACATACTTACTCACTGACTTACTTGCTTATTTTTTTACTTACACGCGTACATAATGTTTTTTTGAATGGCACTGCTTCGGAGACGGCACAGCTTTCTGTTTTGAACGCAGGGGTCAAAAACAGGTCCCAGCCATATATCAATTCCAGTGCACCCTAGAAAACGAGTTCAACAATATTTAGCACCAAATTCAGAGAAATTCCGATCTCCGGGGCACCTTAAGAACCATGTTTACACAGTTTACACTAGTCTGGGTTTTCCAGGGTGTATATATGTAGTTTGGGTCACTCTTTGGGTGAATGGAGGGGCGCCATTAAGGAAGGTAGATCAACCTTTTTTGGATTCCTTTCGGGGTGGACCCAATGTGGACCCAATCCGACCAGTGGCTCAGAGGGATCACCTGCCCCTGCCCTGACGAACGGGGCATTGGAGGGTCGAACCCCACTCCAAGCGAGGACGAACAGGTGATACCTTTGGTTCACGGTTCACCGGTTCGCCTTTCTCTTCGAGGGGCAAACGGCTCCGGCGGCTCGGTGTCTACCGTCGCCATCGGTGGGTTTCCGGGTCCGAATGTGAGGGCGCCGCCTGACCCGAAGCAAGCCTCTTCACCGGCTGAGGGTCTTTCTTTAGGGAAGGATGTTTCATGGAACTCATGGAACAATTGGAGTGGTCTCAAGAAGTAGATGGCACAGATCCCAAGATGTCCATGTAGATGCGGGCCTCCGCAAAAGTCAACTAAACCATTTTGGGGTAACTGGGGCCATCTACTCATTTCATCCTATACCACTATTCGATGTTTGTGGTTTGTGGATCCCTGGATTTCGCGGGGTCCTTGATTCGCAGTGAGTAATCGCCCGGCGCGGGTCGACCCCGCTGACGCCCGCCAGGAGTCTCGGGCGCAGTGGCCAAAGCCGCCTCTCGACCCCCGCAGCCCATCGAGCAAGCGCATGCGGGGATGCTGCAAGGCGCGGGGAACGGTGATGGACCCCTAAGAGGTGGGTGGGTTGAAGAACCCTAGTTCGTTCGGATCTAGTTCGGTTTATGTCATGATGTAGCCCTATACTTTTCCGGGTCCTATACTGGGTCCTAGTTCAGGTAACTCGAACCTTTGTTGGTTTTACCCTAAGCTTCAAAGACCACTACCAATGATACAAGAATGGTTGATGTGGTGACTTTTGTCTGAACTCCTTCGTCAAAAGGGTTGATCGATAAAAGATGCGTGGGTCCTTAGACAAATTCTTCCTGGGTACCATGTGGGCTACTGGATTAATGTTGTTGGATTAATTTCACAGAATTATTCTTAAACATGGTAAAAGCCAATTAAATCAATTTTTGGTCACCAACTCCAGCGTATAGATCCTTCAAACACTCTCCTCTCGACACGACACCACAACAACACACACGACACCGGCAGAACCATGCGGCAGGTAGTCCTTCGTTCTTTTCACTGCAACGTAGGGTTATGTTTATTTTCTAAGGGGAAGATGCAGTAGTTTTGTTCCTGGTTCCTGGTTCCTGCAGCATCATGATTACATGGTGCATGGACCATTCATGGACCCCTTAGAGTGGGTGTTCTTCAAGGTGTCTCATGCTGGTCGGGCCACCTGTTTGGAACGGGTTGCTGATTGTTCCTCCATTTCGGATCGGGGCGGCATTTCCGTGCGTTCGGCAGGTGTTCAGGCGCCCAAACTCTGTGGTGTTGGGCGACATGGGAAGGACCCTATCAGTTTAAAGCTTAAACCATTGTTGACCTGTGCCTCCGTTTGTGCGGCATCCTCATGCATTCATCGTGAGGTTTCTCGGATCCACCCGTTTAAAGGAGAAAAAACTGGAAGCCTCCTGAGAATGGTGAAGCCGCTTTTGGTCCCCACATGTACACAGGTTTGCCGCGCCGTTCACATGTGGAGATTCAGTCGGGCGGCTGTTGGAAGGATCCGAGTTCCCTTTTGCCAACAAAAGACGTGTTGAAGACGGAACATCGCAGGCTTTTTGGGAGAGAGCGCGGGAGGCAACGCTTGCCTTCGAAACCCGACGTTTGCTGGCTTCGCACCTCTGCTTCGCACCTGCTTTTCGGTCCCCTTTGGTGTCTCAAAGACGCCAGGCAACATGAACGCGATGGGCGCCATGGGCGCGATGGGCATGACAGGAATGCCCATGGGTTTGGGGCCTCAGAATGCACGGAGCAATTCAGTGGGTTTGCATGGGTTGGTCAGGGTGATTCTTATGTCCGGGTGATTCTCAGATGTTCTCTATGCCAGACACTCCGGACCACCTTGGTCCACATGGGTGGTGAGTTTTGGGTGGTTCCCAAGGGGTGTTCAGAACCCGACAGGCTATCCCATAATACCCCAGTAGGTGCCCATTTGCGGTCACTTCACCGACTTAACCTTTGTTGGAATTCACTCTGTGCGGTACCCCGAACATGCCTTTCCAGCAACCGCGTGCACCGGGGCACCGTGGCCCCGCCCGTGGCGTTCGTCATGGAGTGCTCGTAGAGTGGGAGTCAAAAGGTGTTTGTGCCGGCAAACCAGCGCAATATGCCGCTTGATCTCGCTGAGGCATGGATGTGATCTCGTCCATGCAAATGCAAAACATGGGCATCTCGTCATGTGATTTCCGTGTTCTTTTCGAGCCCTTGTGCCAAAGATCGGTGGCTGCGGCCTTTTCATGGTTGGGCCGAGCTGCCTCGTTGAGCTTCCTTTTGTGGGGCCCAAAGCTCGCAAAGGACACATGACAATACAAGACTGACGATCTACTTGTGCATCCTTCTATGACTGCAGTTCGGGTGGTTATCGAGGGACAATGCAGAGTCAGGGGTGTCAAAACCAGCATTTCCGTGGTCAAAGATGTTCGGGCTGTGCGGTTTTCTTTTTCTATTTTAGCGGTGTTCGGGTGATCGGTATGTTCCCGAACCGGCGGGTGAATCCATGTTGAGGTCCCCGAAGCCGCACATCCGGTCAACCGGTGGCGAAGCATCTATTGGACCCTCCGGCCCTCCTGTGGAGGGTTTGGAACCTGCGTAGTGGGGGTGTACCCTCAAAACCTCAACCTTTGAGGGTCCTTGATTCTTAGGTTGGCCAACAGACAAATAGGCTGACCCAGCTCTTAAGGTTGGCGGCAATTGTTCTAATTTTCCTCT